GGGGGGGGGGGGGGGGGTTCTCAATTTTCAGGAGTTGTTTTATTTAGAACAATGGCTAAAGGTGAGAATTACACATCACCATCTCAGCTGAGTGGTTTTTAGTTTAATTATGCTTAAGGAAAAGCTGCTTTCAGCATGTGTAATGCGGAGCTCGTCACCGCGTCTTGTGATTGCCTGAGTCAGTAGCGTGTCGATTAAACTGGCAAGCTTTTGTTAGGGGGGAGCACACCGTGCATTTTTAAGAGTGTCTGAAGGACACGGCGAGAATTTTGGTTTACCCTTAACGCGAGTGTACGGAGCGTGGTGTAATGTCAAGAATATCTCGCCTTAAATTCTTGTGGATATTTTGTTTTGTGTTCGAGGTGTTTTTGCTCTTTAAAAAAAAGACAAATGCAACGTGTGCGAGAACCGGCGGTTAATAGGGCCCCCACTTTTAGGGAGACGGGTTGCAACATCCCTGCGGTGATGAATCAGACAGGCACACGGCTGGGCAGCTGCGGGGGTGGGGGAGGGTGAAATTCACAGACAATCACATATTTATTTGCCACTTTTTTTTTCCTATTATATGGCACTGTAGGGGGGGCATGTGTGGGACTTTCTGATATAACTGAGAAAAGAGGGGAATAAAAATAAAAAGCCTGCAGTGCATGCTGGGAAGTTAAACTCCACCTGCTGCCCAGGCCCTGTGCTGCACATGACCTGTAGACATCCGGCGTCTGATGCCAGATGAGCCGCATTCAGAGGAACAGCCACTGCATCGACGCCGCTGGCTGTTCACAGGCTGGACATCGTTTTACACTCGTAGACAAATCGTTTGAAGACTGTAATTACACATTTTTGCCTTGTGCTGCTGCCCCCTACAGGACGTATGTAGCGATGCGACGGACATCATGGAGCAGTGCGAGTCCATCGGGCTGCGACTGCAGGCCCTGGAGGAGCAGCTGGGGACGGCCCTGCTCAGCCAAGACCAGCCCCTGGCCCATATCCCCCTGAGAAGCTGCCCTTTGGGGGCTGGGGGGGGGCGGTGGGTATCATTAAGGGGGGGAGGTTAAGTGAATTCCAAGGGCCTCTGAATGACAGGAATGCTAAAAAATTTGGAATATGATTGGATTGGTCTCTGTTGGGGGCCCAGTAGAATATCCTTACATGGGGCCCAAAATCTGTAGCGGCACCTGTGAGGGGGGGACCTGACTGAGAGGCGAGTCAGACTCAGGTGATCCACGTGGCCCCCGGACTAGGATCAACCATCCAGGCAACTGGAAGTCCATCTTAAAGGAGGGGGGGTGGTTAACTGGGTGGCTGCCTGCTTTACCGCCATCTGCTCTCTGCCTCCAGGGCGGCAGCAGCGAGCCTCATACCCGCAGCTTGCATCCTGTGCTGCCTGATCACGCCGCGGGTCCGTCTCTGGCCCAGAGGCTCGGCTTCACTGAGCGACGGGCTGGAGAGACTCTGCTTCCTCTGCGCTCTGTTTTGGATCATAGATCCCCCCCATCCCCACCTCACCCCGACCCAGCGGCAACGCGTCTCCAGCTGTCCAGGTCACACTTTCTGCTGTTGCCACATGGCCCATATGGCCAGCAGTAGAAGAATAGTATTTTGAAAAATAATTTATAAAACAATCTTAATCGCTTTGGGGCAACCACACTGAGGTGTTTTTGTTTTGCGGCCAATAAAAAAAAAATAAAAAAATTGCGTTGTTTCTGTGGCAACTGCATCCAGCTGCTGTAAATGCATCTGCATCTCGTATCTGGAACTCAGTGGCGGTGACTTTGGAAACGATGGACTGCCAGTTCGATCGGCCGGACTGAGCCACGGATTTGAGTCTGTATCCCCATCCCAACGCGCCGCCTGTATTTCCGTTTTCCTCCCAGCTCCAGGCTCTTCTATAATTCAAAGTGCTCTTTAACGCCTGGTTAATTATGAATGGAGGCTGTTCGGGGTCTGTATCAGAAGCAAAGACGGGCCGGCCAAGCCCATCTGGTGGGAGGGAAGGGCTCCCTCCTCTGATTCGCCACTTAAGCTGGACACCCACGCTATTAATTTTGGTCTCTAAGCCAGTTAAGTCCCCCTCCCTTAAAGGAGGATCCATCAGATTAAGCAGAAGTGCATCAATTATTCAGCGGGAGGCAGTTTGTTTGGTCTGGAGTCGGCGCCGAACGGCACTCTTCCATGCTAAGCGCGTCTCTCTCTCTCTCTCTCTCTCTCTCTCTCTCTCTCTCTCTCCATCGGCCGCAAATTAATTTGCCTAAGGAAAATTACCCGCAAAGGTTTTTCGCTGATTTTCCAGTCAGGAAGCCAGAAAGGGGAGTCAGAATGGCATCTCTGTCATGACATGGCATGGAGGGGGGGCTCTGGTGCCTCTCATCTGCGTGGCCAAGACAGGTCGCTGGCTCCTCGTGGGGAGGGAATGGATGGAGCAGGGTGGGACAGTATTTGTGGCGGGGTGATTTTGTAAAAGTGTAGCTTCTCCTTGACTTCTGAGGCACAGTCCCTCCAGGGGGAGGTCCAGGAGGTGAAGAGTATGCTGCATGCCATGCTGGAGCAACTGAGAATGGAGGAAGATGAAGATGATGAGAAAGGAGGCGAGACCAACGAGGTGAAGCACGGAGAGGAGGACGAGGATCCCTACTTCAGCGACAGCTGGGAGATTTAGCAGGACACATGGATGGGCTGTGCTTTGGTGGCGACCCCCACCTGGGCCTGTCCCTGGTAGGGTGACACTCAAGGCTTATGGCGTCTGAACCTCGGTCACCCACAGCAGGACGTGTGGCTGAATCCTGTCACTGCCCTTACTTGGTGTCATCTATCAACTTACCGCCATTCTGGGCTTGGGCCAGATTCTACCCCGAACGCAGAGCCAGATTCATCAAATCTGGTCTGTGGGGGGTGGGGGGGGTTTCTGTCCCCGTGGCAACTGCCCTGTAACCAGAGAGCTTTCGTGTGTTTCTTGTTCTGTCAGAGAATTTTCTAAAGCGGTCACGGTTTGATAGGCTAACCACTGATCAACGTGAGGTCCCGTGTGACGCTGTGGACTAGCCGCGTCTCGTACGGAGGAGAGCACTGCTCTACTTATTCAGGTCCAGTTCGATGCCAATGGCACGATCTACATTTATCAGTCACGTTAGATGGTGCCATTTAGTCACAGAGTTTGTTCTGATGTTTAGCCACTGTTTAAAAAAAAAAAAAAAAAAAAAAAAAAAACCACTTCTGTTCTAAGTGACAGAAACGACCAAATTCTTTACAGAGGAATATTGTTTGAAGTGTCCCTTTTGTATTTATGCAGATGGTACATATATTATTAATCCGTTTTTACGGATGCATGTTGTTGTAACTGCTGTCCGATTGTAGCCTTAACTAAGCACTTTGGGGTTCACTCCAGAAGAGGGGGCTCTAACTCCCCGCCCCCCCCCCAGCCGCCTTATGACTCACATTGGAATTTTTACTGTGTCTCAATTTTGGACATATTTATTTTTCAGGTTCTTAAATATACCAGAATTGCCCAATGTGGTGTCCGCTTTCTTTGATACGTGCGTGAAACACTGCAAGAAAGGTCATTATTTCCAGAACATTATTCTAGGACAATACAGAAAGGTCTGTCTTACAGGTGGTTCAGCTTGATGCTGTTTCTTATTGATGACAGCCAGCTTCTGCCCTTCTTCACTCTTTCCCAGTTCTGACTGGCCCTAAATTCTCCTTTCCTCTCTCTGGCTTCATACTTCAAACTGGCCCGTCACAAAAGGCACGCTGACCTCAATCCCGCTATTCCTGTAACTGCTTTTCCATTCGGGTGACCTCAATCTGCAAATCGAGTAAGCAAAAAGTAAAATAAATCAACCCACAGGACAACACATGTGGACATACAGGCACACATCGCGCACTGTAGGTTACGAAGACTGTTCCCCACGAATGTTCAGAGAAACATGGTGAGGGAAACCACTCTCTGGCTAAATGTTACCTTTCTTTCAACATCTCAAATGCAGGGTAAATGCGCGATTCACCTGAGCCCAGCGCCTGCTTCCTGTGAAACTATCTGGGTGGTTTCTGGGCGTATTTTGGGTTAGGTTTTTGTAATGCTAAGAATTTGTGCCACTCAGACTGAGAAGAGGCTGCCTGAGCTGGGCCGGTACCGCTGGATCACCTAACGAATTGAACCATGCAGCTTAGCTTCTTCCACAGGAATGCAAATCGCCCCAAATCCACAGCTTAGCAGAAAACAGCTATGTAGAGTCCTAAAATGGTGATTCCTCTGCCATCTCAGGATTTGTCTCTCAGATATATGAATGAATAATAAATGAATCCTGCAGGTTGAAAATGTAATGCCGTTATATTAAAATTAATTAAATTTATGACGTAACTATTATAGGTTCTGACCTTGAGCTCAGTGGTGCCGCTTGTGGTGGAGTTGCTAACCATCACTTGTACTTCAGTCACTTGAGCCTCGAGTTGTCTGTCAATAGGGTAATGCCGCCCCCTCATTTCCACTTGAAATGGATCTATGGTGAATATGGCGTTACTGACCGGAAGCTGGCAGGAAAAGCCGTGAATCCACACAAGCCATGTTGAATGACCTGTCAGCGTTAACTTCTACTACTTTACTGGAAATCCTGTTTTTAAGTGAGGCATTTACGCTAACAAGGGTTCAGACATTGAGACACTAGTCAGCCTGCACAACAAAGAGAGAAAGACGCCAACAGGGACACTGGTCACAGGGAGGTGCTACAGTGGATCCCCGCAGAAGAGGTTTGCAGATCAAGAGTTTTATTCAAAGTGCCGATTAAACTTTCCTCCCCCACTCGTACTTCATAATTATGCTGTCGGTGACCATTTCACCACTGTTGCTTACTTTTGAATCCTCAATTATGTGAAAAGTGAAGAGAACCCCCCCACGCCCCCACACAACCGCCCCACCCTGCCTGGGGAGCATGAAGCTGATACTTATGCTTTCAAAGAGCTCGCCAGTTTGCAGGCAGTGCCCAGGGGTGATTCCTTTCATGAGAGTTGAGCGGGGGAGGGGGAGGGCGGGGGGGAAGGCAATGGTGCTAATTTTGCCCAGGAGCGGAGGATACCAAATACCAAGCACGCCGAACATAGCAGCCGCTCGCATTCCTGGGGTAACCGATGGTGCCGTTACCTTTCAGCTCCTGTCACATGAGAAGCTGATGTTACCCGCCAGTCGTGGCAGTGGGCCAAACTAACACTCGCTTTCTCCGGCGGCGGGCCAAACGAACGCTCGCTTTCTCCGACGGCGGGCCAAACGAACGCTCGCTTTCTCCGACGGCAGGCCAAACGAACGCTCGCTTTCTCCGACGGCGGGCCAAACGAACGCCCGCCTT